CTTCTTCAGGTTTTCTTCGAATGGACTGCACTGTGAAAACACCTGTGGAGTTTCCTACTATCTTCTCTGTGGTGGTGTCTTTCACTCCTAGAAAAATTCCTTTGGTCCATTGGGCCTCGAACTTGTGGCCTCTCTTGAGGTATTCGATGGCCTCACCAAATGGTGGAATTGCTACTTTCCATTCACGTCCACGAAGTCGTGAATACGGAGTCTTTCCGTCTTGAAGTTCGGTTGATCGGAAAAACAGATTGTAGACTGTGGATGCGTGTTCAACTAACCAAGTCAAAACAGGGGAATCGTCAGGAAGTTTCTCACCATAATTCGACTCGATCGCGGCTCGAAGAGTCCTGGCTTGTCCTTCCAAGGTTTGAACTGCTCGTTCAATCTCTCCCTTGGATTCTTTGACTCCTTTCGGGCTCTTCTCGATGATCAGGGTTCCTTCAAACCCATTCTTTACTGCCTCAACAACAGAGGTGAGGGCAGGTTCAGGATCATGTCGAATGATCAGTTTGGAGTATCCTAGTTTCTTGATGTCGTTCAAAAGTACTTTGGATCCATATGGACCTTTTGTCACACCTTTGTAGGGCAACACATGAGCAAAAAGATGCTTTGTCCATCGATCTCTGACCACAAGAATTGGTGCATGGGTCTTCTCGTCCAAAACTACATCATCAGTTCGTGAATTCATGAAACAGTAGTCTACAGTCACTACTGGGGTTGTCTCATCGGTGTGGTCTATCTTCCTGTGGGGGTTTGCCTTGGCTTTTCCCCTTACACAGGCTTCACACCAAGACCTAAAAGGGAAGTGTGACACAACATGCTCTTCAAACTCTTTTCTCGTCGGGCGAGTGGGAGCATGGATTCGGAGCTCAGGCGGCACTTCGTCGCCTTGCTCGGCCTCTTCGGCCTGCTCCACCGGGCTTACCCATTGCGGTGCCGGACGAAAGGGTGGAATGCAAGCGGCACAGAACAGACGCCGTTGCTGAACGAGATCGGAATCTTAGTTCCGTCTCGGGAGATCTGCCCACCAGATCCGTGCATCTGAATGCACCAGCCCTTGCTCATAAGGGCCCCCGCGGAGAGCAGCGGTTTTGCAACCGCCATCACCCGGAAACAGCAACGTCCATTGAGGGAGTTCTGGCCGATGCCGATGGTCACCCTGGCCTCGATCTTGCCAAGGTGCTTGACCACTTCGCCTGAGGCAGTCTTGTAGACTTTGCAGGTGCCTTCAGGCTGGATAGGCTTGTAGCCCAATGCGGTGGCCAGTTCAACAGGGATGCAGGAGGTCGCGGCTCCTGAATCCAAGGTCACCTGATGAGCCATTGGCGTCTCCATGGATGCCAGCTCCAAACTCTTGAGAGCGAGTGGATCGTCATCGCCTTCATCAGGCTCGCTTGAGGGAGTGGGATATCGTTTTCCCTTTCCCTTCTTGGCCTCACGGGCAGCATCCTGAGTGGCCACGTTGACAGCTCGGGTCAACTGCACCTTCCTCTGCTTGCCCTTTCCTTGGCCTTTCTCGGAGGCAGCCGGAGCCGAAGCGGCTCGGCTTTTGCCCGGGGATCGTGACCGGGACTTCAGCCGAAGCGTCTGCCTTGGCGCTTCGCTGGATTCCTCTGGCTTGGATCCTGGTCCACGGAATCGCTCCTGGTGCTCTTCAGTCGAGCTCTTGAGCCAGGCCATGCGCTCCTCCTTGGTCTTGCCCTTCTTCTCAGGAGGTGGAGGTGTCTTGGCAATGCGCCTTTGCTTTGGCGTCTTTGGGCCAACCTCATCTTCCTCCTCCTGCTCTTCCATCATCTTCTGCATATGGGCAGTCATGTAGAAAGGAGGTTCGTTCTTGACGGTCTCGAGCTTTGGATCTTTCATCTTCAAATGCTTTGCCACATCTTCGGGCTTCAGATCCATGTCGGTATCTTTCACATGCTTTGGCGCATCTTTTGAAGTTGGGCTGCCTTGCTGTCCCTTGGCAGTCTTGATGCGCTTTCCCATCTCTTTCTGCTTGATCGTCCATTCCTTTGCCCACTGGTTGAGGACTTTTGGCGGGCAACAATTCAAAGCCATATGATGGTTCCATAGGCCGGTGTCATTGTCACACCTCAGGGCCTTGTTGCACGCACGGCAGACCATGTTCTTGCTGCCATCTCTGTTCTTGTGGGTGCATTTGGCTACCCATTCATCATAGCTGAGGATGCGCTCTTGGAACATGTGGTCGAGCCATGGCACGGTATCTTTCTCTTTTTCTTCTTCTTGTCCATCTGACTCCTCGTCAGCTGGCTCAGTGCCATTCTCATCCTCTTCAACTTCACCTTCAAACTCTTCTTCTTCTTCGAGTCCCTCGATCTCAGTCACATCAAGGGGATTGATGTTCTCCATGACTGGAGCTGCGAAGGATGGTGCGCTTGTTGCTCCTTCGCCTTGGCTTTCGACGCGCTTCATCACAACATAGTCCTCTGGGTTGAACCCAGCTGCAGTGAGCGCCTTGTCGATGACACTGCGGGCTGGATGGCTAGTAGCCGTCCATGTCTGGCTTTCCCGCTTCATCTCTGCCAACTCTTGAGTGGAGAGATCCTCGATCTTGGGCTCCTTCTCTTTTGGCTTCTCAGGCTTCTTTGCCTGTCCTGGCTTCTTGTAGCCACGATGCCTCTGGGCCTTTTCTCGACCTCGAGGCTGAGGGGCTTCATCAAACTTTCCCTCATCATCTTCATCATCCCAAGCTTGAAGTCGACCAGTACCCTTGGCACGAGCGATCTCATAGTAATCGAGCTCCTCAGGGTAATTGGCCTCATAGTCGCGCCAGGATTCGAAACGATCCTGGGCCTTCTCAACGCGATGCTGCTCGGCGCGCTGACGGCTCTTCTCCTTCTTCTTGGCCAATCTTGGGTCCATGCCTGATGCCAAATCAGCTGAGAGCCTTGGCGACTCCGCCGGAACCGAAGCGGCTCGGCGAGGAGTTGGCCTCTTCAGCAAGATCTTGGCTTCTCTCTCCTTTTCTTCATACTGTTCTTTCAGCCTCTTCATCTCGGCCTGTTGTTCCAAGATGGCGTCATTGGCTGCTTTGCCCTTGGCTTCGGCCTCTTCGATGGCCTTCTGGATTGTCTCAGACTTCTTCTCATACAGCTCGCGATTGGACTGCATGGTCTCTTGGATTGCTTGGTTCATGACTGCAATCCCAGCAGCTGCAATTCCAGGACGACCTTTTCCAGTTCCTGGCTTCTTTGGCATAGCCTTGACTTCAGTCTCAGCTTTTGCCTTGGCTGCTCCACGAGAAATTGCGGCAGGTGCTGACTTCTCCATCTCGATGGCAAAGAGGGTGGCGATGTCAGCGGAATACTCAGGCTCGGGTTGATGCTCTTGAGCCATAGAGGTTTCAGATTCCTCAACTGAAGCTACCTTCTTACTCTTACTCTTGCCTTTACCTTTAGAGTCTTTGCCTTTGCCACCTTTGCCTTTACCCTTGGAGTTTTGGTTGTACCAACTACTCTTGTTCCAATCATTCTTATACCAATCGTTCTTGTTCCATGAGTTGTTCCATGACGAGGGATTGGACCATGAAGAACCTTTTCCCTTCTGTTTACCTTTGTCGTTTCCCTTGCCTCCATCTTGACTCTTTCCTTTTCCTTTGCCGCCTTTTGAGCCACCTTTGCCTTTTCCTTTGGCTTTAGCCAGACTTGCAAGTGAAGCTTGCATCTGGCTGGCAGCTGCGGCTAGTGCGTCAACATCCATTGGTGCTGATCCAGTCTTTGCTTCTTTTCGGCTCTCGATGTTCTCGAGGTAGGCCAAAATCTCTGACTTCATGATGGCATAGTCAGTGAGTCT